ACACACACACACACACACACACACACACACACACACACACACACACACACACACACACACAGCAAAGTTGTGGAAAGAGATCTGCAACGATCTCGACAATGACATCTGGGGTAAAGCCTACCAAATTGTCACCAAACGACTTGGAAAGGCTTTACCAGAGGCGCCGAAGTCTCCAGCCTTAATGGATAGCATTGTAGCGGAGCTTTTCCCCAAACACCCGCCGCGGGAGAAGAAACAATACACTAAAAACAACGAAGTAACACCCTTCACAATTAAGGAACTACAAGACGCGGCCAAGCCACTCAAAACAGGAAAGGCACCTGGACCTGATGGCATCCCGGCATCGGTGATTAAGATTGTAGCCCTGGAATACCCAGACTTACTCCTGAACACCTACAACGCATGCTTAGCAACTGGCACGTTTCCCGCGGTCTGGAAACGGCAGAGATTGGTTCTCTTAGACAAAGGTAAGGGAACCCCCATAACACCTTCGTCGTTTAGACCACTCTGTGTGCTGGACATTGCTGGAAAACTACTCGAGAAGCTCATACAAGGGAGACTTCGCAACGACATAGACCGTGCTGGAGGTTTTGCCACCAACCAGCATGGCTTCCGGAAATGTCATTCGACAGTCGGAGCAATCAAGAAAGTCATAAAAACAGCAACACAAGCATGGTCTGGTAGCCTCAAAGCTCGTAAAGTATGTCTTCTCCTCACGCTAGATGTCAAAAACGCATTTAACAGCGCAAATTGGAGAGATATTTTGGACGCCCTGGAGCACAAGTTTGACGCGGAGCCAGAAAATCTGGCACTAGTCGATAATTACCTTGACGATAGAAAGCTAATAGTGGAAACTACTGAAGGCCCACAAGAATACGTCATAACGGCCGGCGTGCCGCAAAGCTCAATAATGGGGCCTGATCTATGGAACGCAGACTACTATGAGCTTCTTGAAATCCCGTTGCCAGAGCAAGTAAAGCTAACAGGCTTTGCAGACGACGTTGCAGCCACTATAGTGGCGGACAGCGTAGAAGAGGCCGAACTGCTAGTTCGGGAAACCATCGACATCGTCGAGACTTGGCTTGATAAGCATCACCTGAAACTCGCCAAACAGAAAACCGAGATGGTCGTTTTGACACGTCAAAAATGGTTCCCAAAACCATTTGCTGTGGACATGGGAGGAACAACACTGACGTCAAGAAGGGCCCTGCGATACCTAGGGGTTATGATAGACGAGAAACTATCTTTCCGTGAACACCTCGACAGTCCATGCAAGAAAGCCAGCAAGACTGTGTCTAGCCTAGCACGAATTATGACCAACACCATGGGACCAAGAAGAAAAAAGAGAAGAGTTCTCCTAGAAGCAGTCCACTCGGTACTACTGTATGGGGCGGAAATATGGGCAGACATATTAAAGCAGAAGACCTACCGGCGGAAAATAGCAGCAGTGCAGCGGCGAGGCGCTCTCAGAGTTGCCTGCGCCTACCGTACGGTTTCCGAAGCGGCTGTACTGGTCATTGCGGGAGCTGCGCCCATCGACCTATTAGCGTTCGAAAGAGCAAGACTCTACGACGCTAAAATCAGTGGCGAAAACATGAAGGAGGCAATAACGAGGATAAAAACGGAAACGCAGCAAGAGTGGCAGGACCGATGGACGTCGGGAGAGACAGGCAGATGGACAGTGCGACTGATCCCAAACATCAACGCCTGGCTCTCTCGGAAACACGGGGACACGGATTTTTTCCTGACCCAACTACTGACAGGACACGGGCAGTACAACGC